TTGAATCTGTATGTAAGTCAGAACTGGCGTCCAGATTCAGCCGCTGTTGAAACTGATCAGTTTCAGCAGCGGCTGACGCCAGTTCCGACTTACATACAGATTCAACTTAAGAACAAACCTACAGTCCCTATCTTGTATGTAACCCGGGGACTGCCTGTAGTTAGATTCCTAGGTTGCCAGACAAGAGAGGTTCAACCGGTATACAGATTTAATGAGAGAGGCCAGTGTTTCCTAAACAGGGAGCCCTGACATGAAAGGGAGCTGCAGAGGGATTGCAATCTTATATTTTAGTGGGGTTGTGATATTGCGAATTTTAATTCTGCACTGACTTCAGAGCTGGGTGGCAGGAGAGTGGTAGCAGCTGGCTACAATCCCAGTGTTCTGCTAGAAACAGTTCAGAAATAAGACTAGAAATACTATACCAAGCCATTGTCTGCACTGCTGCCTTCAGATCTGGGTGGCCAGAGTAGCTGTGTCCAGACTCAGGGTTTTTTTCGAAAAAAGTAGCCTTTTTTCGAAAAAACTTCACCTGCGTCTAGACTGCAGCCGCGTTCTTTCGAAATTAAATCGAAAGAATGCGGCTTTTCTTTCGACGGTGGTAAACCTAATTCCACGAGGAAGAACGCCTTCTTTCGAAAGTGCTCTTTCGAAAGAAGGCGTTCTTGAAGAAAGAGAGCATCCAGACTCACTTGCTGCTTTCTTTCGAAAAAGCGTCTTGCTTTTTCGAAAGTTCCGTGTGCAGTCTAGACGCTCTCTTTCGAAAGAGGCTTGCAGTCTAGACATAGCCAGTGTGTTGGTCTAGCTGTGTAGGCAGCAGCGCAGAAAGAAGAATGGTAATTCCATAGCAGGTTACATACCACAGTTACTAGTTTTGCACTTTAGTTTTTGAGTTCCTTCAGAACACGAGAGTGAATATTAGCTAGTTTTTGTTACTATTTACTTATGGGTGTCAAGTGATTTTAAAACTCATGATTGATCCCACTGTAAAATAATAATAGAAAATTATTTATTTAAACATTTTTGGATGTGTTCTACATTTTCAAATATTTTTATTTTAATTACAAAACAGAATACGAAGTGACTGTTGGTTGCTTGTCACTGAAAATGAAAAAAAGAACCAAGTTTAATAAATGGCTAAAAAAGTCATATTATTATAAAAAGTGTATGAAGTACATACACGTTACATTTAGAGAGAGGGAAGATCAGGGGAATCAGCCTCTGATCAGTTTCAGCAGCAGCTGACTTGGGTACACCTGGGACAGAGCAGCTGGGGTGCTGCCGGGTTGGCCTCGCAACGCCAAGGGTTGGCGCTACCAGACCAACCCGGCAGCGCCCTAGCTGCTCTGTCCCGGGCATCTGGATTCAGCTGCTGAGCCCGGGGCAGAGCAACTCTGCCTCGGGCTTCCGGGAGTCAGCCGCTGATCAGTTTCAGCAGCGGCTGACTTGGGGACACCTGGGGCAGAGCAGCTGGGATGTTGCCGGGTTGGTCCAGTAGCTCCAAGGAGCGGCACTGCGGGACCAACCCGGCAGCACCCCAGCTGCTCTGCCCCAGGCGTCCCCAAGAGCAGCTGGGGTTCTGCCGGATTGGTCTCGCTGCACCAAGGGACGGCGCTACTGGACCAACCCGGCAGCACTCCAGCTGCTTTGCTGCAGGCGTCCCCGATTCAGCCGCTGCTGAAACTGACCAGCAGCAGCTGAATCAGGGACACCTGGGGCAGAGCCGGACTATTGGAAGGGGGGGCTATGAGGAGTCTGGGGTGGCATCCACCTCCCACTCCAGACCCCTCATCGCCCCCCTTCCGATAGTCCGGCAAATCTGATAATCCGGCACCCCCTGGGTCCTAAAGGTGCCGGATTATCGGAAGTTTACTGTATAACCTTTCTAAAAAGAAAAAAGTTGACTGCAATTGTTACCTAATATTTCTCTGTACAAAGTGAGCTGTTTGTTTTTGTAATTGTTAATATTATATTTATAGTAAGCTGTTGGTGCTGATCTGTAAAAGTATGCTTATTTCTAAAGGCATTTATTCTCAGTAGTGTTTTGTTGAACAAGGAATCTGATTTATTTCATTGGCACTAATAAGGCCCCTCTCAAGGTAAGGGTGATGTAATGTGGTTCTAAAATATATATATAAATGGACATCGCTGAAGTATACAGGAATGGTGCTTACCCAGTAAATAACATATTAAATCTTTGGTTTAGTGTAGGCTGTACTTCCTAACCTCAGCTACAATTCTAGAAGAAACTTAAAAAACAACTAATAGTTTTGCAGCACCTTAGAGACTAACAAAAAATGTAGATGGTATCGTGAACTTTCATGAGCACAACCCACTTTTTCAGATGAACTAACTTTTTTTTAGTTACAGACTAACACAGCTACCTCCTGAAACTTTTGAACAATTCTAGAAGAGAGCTGAAAGATCTTACCACATGCAGTGCCAATATTTAAAGGGAATGAAAAATATTTAGATAACAGTGTCACCTGGTGGCTGTTACATTACGTTACAGAAGCACAAGTTGTGCATACTGATAACTGTTATTCCTTACACAATCAGTTTGAAAAAAGAGGGTATCTTATGTTTTTTTGCTGTTTTTTTTTCAGAGTCATTTGCTGTCTCAAACAGAGAACTGTGTGATGAAGAGAAAGAGATAGTACATTTCCCAATATGTGAAGGCACATCCCAACCTGAGCCCTCCTGTTCAGCTGTCAGAATAACAGCGAATAAAAACTACAGAAGTAAAGCTAATCAAGAGGGTGCTTTGAAAAAGATGCATGAGGAAGAGCATCACCAGCAAATGTCCATTTTACAACTGCAGCTGATACAAATGAATGAAGTACATGTGGCAAAAATACAACAGATAGAAAGGGAGTGTGAGATGGCTGAAGAGGAACACAGAATAAAAATGGAAGTGCTAAATAAAAAGAAAATGTATTGGGAGAGAAAACTGCAAACCATCACAAAAGAATGGCCTGTATCATCCTTTAACAGACCCTTTCCTAATTCTCCCTAGAATTTATGATGAGCAGAGAAAATCTGATTGAGCACATTCTTACTAAGGTGTATTGGCAAGAGGGTATATTAAAATTAATGTAGTGTGACAGAATGGGTGTTCAGTTAATAGTGAACACATTTTGACTCTGATAACATCTAGGAATACAGATTGGATGGGTCTAATATGGGAACATTCTATAGTTCATGTGTGGGTGAGCTCTGAAAGTAAATTGTCTCTTATTTGAGTTTCGGTTACGGACAATAGTACTTGTGAATTGTGAGCATAACGTTTTTTCCTCTCTCAACTTCCAACTGCCCTTTTTAAACCTAGGAAGTCCATGTAGAACAGACACATACCCAAATTTAGGGTATGTTTAAAACTTTGGCTTTACAACTGTAAATTTTTAATTATTTTGCTTCTTTCTAGCCATTTCCTCCATTTTCTGGTCGAAGGCAGGGGTTGGAGTCAGTCTTTGTTCTCAAACTTCACACGCAGATATTTGACAGGCAGTAACCCAATTGCTGTAAAGACACAGAGAAAATCCCCCCTTTGTGTCTCTATCTTTTTTATTTATTAGTATTATTATTTATTATTTATTTTATTATTCCTCCTCTGCAACAGGTAAGTGAAAATTAAGGAGCTCATGAGGAGACAAGAGGACCATTCTAGTAGGTAATTTGCAGGGAAAGGAAATTAAAACCTCCACCCAGCTGGCGTATTTAAGATGGTGGTTGGGGCCTGACCTGCTAGCTGCTAGGGCCATAACTGTTGGAAAGAGGTAAAGCAGAGGATATTTTCCCAGAAGCAGCTACTTTTGGCTGCCCTCTCTCAGTCCTGTCCTATCACCCAGATATATATGCAGGGATTAGAAGTATGTGATGGAAGCATGAGACTGCAGCTGCTAGAGAAAGAAACTAGCCCCTTAACTGCACAGTATGCGCAGTGACATTCTGTGGATAAAAGCTTTTCTGCTGCTTCAAGTAGCTCTTAAGAAGCAGGTGGCTGGCTATCTAGGCAACAAAAAATTTCTCCCAGCAGCCCACTAATGGATTTGGATCTAGCTCCTAATTAGAAGTGAGACCAATTGTGGATCCTCTTGATCTTTTCTTACCAACTCACCATTGTTCATAGAAGTCAAGACAGATTTTCACTTGGTGCAGGGCTCTAACATAATCGTTCGGCCAACGTCTGTGAATCCTGTCTGCTTGGCTTTGTCCCAAACTTCAGCCCAGAGCAACCCCAACCTCTGCTGTCAACCAGGGATTCCTGTTGTCTTTATTTACTTATATAGAAGCCTTATTTACTAGAGGCCTCAACAGAAATTGGTGCTACACATACACATAATAAAATATTACCCCTGCCCTGAATATTTTAGTCTAAATAAGACAAGGGCTGGGAAATGGGAAATATGAAACCAAGGGTAAAGTATTAAAGTGCACATTTTAGAACAAATGTAGAGGTCCACTTTAAAGGATCTTCCTCTATCTGAAAAGGTGTCCTGGGGGGAGAGGCATTTTAAATAAGTGACAAAGAATGAGCAGAAAATCCCTTATTTTTTTACATTATTCAGTTATAAAATTAAGAGTTGCATTATTTTAAATGTATTTTCCCCACAGATAATGGTTAAGGGGGAAATCCTATATTAGCAATATTTTTCAAATGAAAACAAATTTTGAAAGGCATCGTCCTCTTTCTCAATTGTGTTCCACCTCTTCTCTGGATTTCCTTCCTGCTGTGAGCTTTTGTATTTATTTTTCTCTTGGTTACGTCTCCCTGCTGCTGTTGCATACCTGTAGGCTTTGCTGCTGTCAGTCATAACAAGCTGCCTACAAGATCGTGTTGGAAGTGAAGAGAGTGGTGCTTTTTCAGTGCTGCTTCTCCTGAATGATAGACAAAATCAGCCCGGGCAGAGATGCAGCAGGCACAAATATACAGTAGGTATGAAATCTAAAGAGGGTAATTCTGTTGGGTAGCAAAATCCCATTTTTTAGTGTGGATAGACTCCCTCTTCTGGCAATTTGACTGTAGAAAGGAAACAGTGGGAGCACAAGGTGCTAATTCTCTTGGCCTCCACAATGTTAGAGTGTGGGACAATAATCTGTGACTCAGGATATGGGGAATTAAATAGTAGAAATGGGGTTGAGGACAGCAAATCTTTGGTGTGAGGTCTTGAGTTGTGATTTAAGTAGTTGTGTGTATGTATATATATGTGTGTGTGTGTATATATATAAAAATGAGTTTTCGTGGGCAATATCCATTTCCTCAGATGACCAGAGGAGGAAGTGGGTGTTGCCCACGAAAGCCATAGTCTACACTAGGGAGTTATTTTGAGATAAACCCTCTTATTTTGAAATAACAATACCATTATTTTGAAATAAGAGACTGGTTATTTAAAAATCTGTACTCCTGCTTTACTTGGGGAATAAGCTTATTTTGAGAAAGTTATTTTGGGAGTTATTATTTAGAATTTAGTTATTTTAAAATAATTTCCCAGGGTAGACATGCTCTAAGGCAGTGATGCGCAACCCGTGGGCGGTCATTGCGCTTCGATCCAGGCAGCCGGGGGCTGGGCCTTGCCATTGGCGGCCGTGTGGCCAGTGGCTGGGCCCAGCAGTTGGCAGCCCCCCCCAGCGCAGCACCTAGATCTGGCCAGCCGGGGGCTGGACCCAGCAGTTGGCGGCCCCTGGGGCACAGGGTCGCAAATCAAAAAAGGTTGTGTATCACTGCTCTAAGGTGCTACAGGACTACTCATTTTCTAAGTTATAGACTAACACGGCTACCCCTCTGTGGTTTAGGGGGTAAGAATGCTTTGAGTGGAGATGGTGATGGCTCATTCATGCATGCAAAAAGGTGGGAGGGATAAGAATATATATTAGGTACGTCTACACAGCAACAATATTTCAAAATAACGAGCGTTCTTTTGAAATAACTTAGTCTGTGTCTACACAGCAGGCAGTTATTTCAAAATAATGTTGAAATACTGTCAAGCTGGAGGACTTTTTACTCCGACTCCTGTAACCCTCATTGTATGAAGAGTCAGGGATGTTGGAGGAAGAGTGCTGTATTTCAGAATAAGTGCTGTGTAGATGCTCCCAATTTCTAAATAAGCTACGCAATTGACGTAGCTCAATTTGCCTAGCTTATTTCAAGTTAAGCTCTGCTGTGTAGAGAAACCCCTAGTGTCTCACTGACAAGGTCCTTCCCATACTGCTGCTTGCTAAAAACCACTCAAAACTATACAGCATAGTAAATAGATAAGATAACAGAAGGTGAGGAAAAGAGACACCATGACAGTTGGGAAGATAACAGGATTGAAAGAGAATGTAGATTTGAATGGGATGGACCTAGGAGACAATACAGTATGTTCCAAGGAAATAGTGATATCTCCTCATTTCTAACTCTTTATGCTGGTAGCCCTGGTTATGAGAGACATTGTTTTTATTTTTATATTTCAAAGAAATTCATTTAAATTATGCATATTTTCAGATTGGATATACATTCTTATAGCCTTATTCACAGAGAGAAGTTCTTGTATTAGTTATGAAACCAAAACGTACAGCATTTAGTGTGGGCAAGAGGGCCTTTGAATTTAATTACTATTGCAAAAAAATATAGCTGAAAGATTGGAAAGAACCAAGACAAAGAATTTAAGGAAAGGATCGTTAGAGTAAGGGCACGTCTAGACTACATCCCTCCGTCGAAAGAGGGATGTAAATGAGCCCGATCAAAAGTGCAAATGAAGCGTGGATTTAAATATCCCACAGTTCATTTGTATATTTGTGTCTGATCATCACTGTTTCGAAAAAGGGTATTTTGAAAGTGAAACTGCAGTCTAGACGCGGTTCTTTTGAAAAAAAAAAAACCTTTTTCAAAAGAACTCATACTCATTTTTTCAAGAGTACGGGTTCTTTCGAAAAAAGGTTTTTTTTCCCCAAAAGAACCACGTCTAGACTGCGGTTTCACTTTCAAAATACTCTTTTTTGAAACAGCAATTAGATGCGAATATGCAAATTAAGCACGATATTTATATTTGCACTTTCGATTGGGCTCATTTACATACTCTTTCGACAGAGGGATGTAGTCTAGACATAGCCTGAGTGTTATGCCTAGGGACCAAGTATGAGAACCCTAAAATGTCTGGAGACATTGCGATACAGCCACCCACACTTGGATGAGATGGATCCAGCTAGACTTATAGAATGATTATTTCCTGTATTGACTTTACTGAGTACTTTGTCTAGACTAGTTTTAAATGACTTGAGTGATGGGGCTTCCACCACTTAGCTGAGAGATTATTACCTAATAAAATAGACCTTAATACTAGGAATTTTCCCTTGGTACTAAGCTTAAATTTTCATTTGGTTGGCTCTGTCCTCTTCAGTCCTAATATATATCCCCTTGGACACTTAAAGATGTTCCTCTCTCTTTTTTTCTGGCTTATATCCTTCATGTGCTTTTGCATTAGTTATTTCCTCCATTAGCTGTTTGGCCAAGATTCTTAAGTTTTTTCTTTCTAAACCTTTTCTCATAAGTAAATTCCAGTAGCTCTACACTATTTGTCTCTCTTCTCTGAATTTCCTCCAAATTGTATTAAGGTACTCAGAACTGAACATGATAGGCCAAAATTTTCCCTGGTTTAGCTCTATGGACGATGAATTATACCAGGGAAGCATTTAGCCTAGAGCTACAAGTGCAGTCTGCTTGTTGATACAGAGAGGAACTGTCATTTCCCTGGCTATGACATGATGCATCTGCTTATACTGTCTAATATCACACTGACTTTTTTTATTACCATATCAAACTGGAGCTCATCTAGTTTGCTATCCACTCACGTTGCTGTTTTCTGTCTTTGGCTTGCATCATCTCAACCAGTGTTCCCTCTAAACTGCAGCTTCACAGGTGATTAATCAACTCTGCCGAGTCAGTCAGCTCCCTGCATGGAGGAGCGGTGAACCTGACTGGGCGGGGCTGATTAATCACCTGTGAAGCTGTGCTGCCACACAGCTTAGAGGGAATACTGATCTCACCCCAAGTTCTGTGAACAGAGTTGACCCTCCGTGCACAGATCTTCTCTTCCCTCGAGAAAAAGTGGGCTCTTCTTACTGCATGGCACAGTCACAAACACGCTTTGTTAGACACCATGAGAGGCACTTCGGGGATGGGGCGAAGGAAGTAGGGAAGACCGGGCAAGCTAAGAGAATCATAGAAGAGGGTAGAGGGAAATGTTTCCATTCCAGAGCTACAGAGCTCAAGCAGGAAAAAGTATGGTCCCCCACTATATCTCTTCAGCTGAGTCCTCCCTCAGGACCTCAGCTGGTTCAGAAGCAGTCTGTATGGTTGGTCTTGGCTTTCCGTTGATGCTTGGGGATCCACTGTGTTTGATGTGGGCTCAGTGCCCTTTGCCAACTTTCCCTGCCCATAGGGTGATGCGGGAGGAATTCCCATGGAAGAATTCCCATGGAAAGTTCCTCCTGTAGAGCCCTGTTCATAGGCCTTATCATGCAAGGGGAATAGTCTCTTTTTCCCCTAATATCTCTAGGGCCTGTGATCTTGTTTTTTTTAACCTTCCTGGTGCTTACGGCCAGTTTTTCCTCACCAGCTGTACTGACACAACGTTCATTTGACTACTCCATCAATTTTCTGTTTAAAGAACAGGCTATAACAAGGCAGTTCACTGATTTAGCTATATTAGAGTCACTTTTAAAGTTAACCCTTCATCTTGTTTTAAGAGCCCACTGTATGACTAGTATTTCTTTTTTCCTGGTATTCTTTAGAGTTCTTACTTGATGAGTTCTTACTTTATTTAAGAGCAGGTTAGATAGACATCTGTCAGGGATGATCTAGACGGTACTGGGTCCTGCCATGAGGGCAGGGGACTAGACTCGATGACCTCTCGAGGTCCCTTCCAGTTCTAGTATTCTATGATTCTATGAACCAGTTTGGGTACACTTAACTCATTCATTTTTATTTTTTCCTTCAACCCTCAATTGTCTCTCTGAGATTCATCCTTGGCCCAAATTTCAGTTCCTACGTGGTGCCCTAAAGTAAAGAGGGAGCTAGCATTTCCTGCTATAAGGGAAACCTCTGTTTGACATAAAGCAGGCATAGCCAGCTCTATCAGCATCTACTCTTTCCTTCCCACTATGTAGGGTATATGTTGGAGAAGGGCCAGGAGTACATAGTACTCTGGCCAATCACTGTCCAGTGGAGTGGTCCTCATAGAGCAGTGGTCTCCAGCCTTTTTAAGCCCAAGATCACTTTTTGAATTTAAGTCAATCCAGGATCTACCTCAAACTCAAACACCCTCCCCTGACTCCTTCCCTGGGGCCCTGGCCCTGCCCTACCTCTTCTCTGAGGCTCCTCTCTGCTCATTCTGTGGCGATGGGGGACAGGGGTGGGGGAAAGGGGACACTCTAACATCTGAGCATCCCCCTCCTCAGTCTCCCCCACCCTGTACAGCAAGCAGGAGGCCCCCAGGAGGCAGGTCCAAGGCAGAGAGCAGAAGAAGCATAGCAGTGGAGGGAGGGGCAACTAAAATACCAGCACTTGATAGCTTCCTGGCCAAATCAGTCAGGATCACCTGTCAGAGGCTCCAGGATCTACAAGAAGATTCTGATCTACTGGTTGGTGACCACTGCTATAGAGCAGGGCTGCTCAACTTTGGAAGTCCCAGGGGTCACAATGATACTCCTAGCACATTCCTAGGGCTGCAACTTAAGTGTGATTGCATATACATGCAAATATATATGCAAATAGCTTCTTTCACACTGACAGGCATGAATACAAAGATTAAAGCAAGACTACACAACACACAGGCTCCATTTAAGTCAGTTCTGCTGATATTAATAAAATGCAATATTTACCCGATTTCCACCGATATGACAGCACTTTTAATGAGTAATGACAGTCCAGGAATGTAACTACTAAAATGCATATCAACAGAAGACAATTATATTGACTACTTTTTTTGTTTTGTCTTCCACCTGCGGGCCGTGTGTTGAGCCCTGCGTAAATCCAAACTACATCGTGGGCTGCAAACAAACAGTCCGCGTGTTGAGTAGCCCTGCTATAGAGGATGGCTGCAGCTGACATAATTTAGATCAGCACTTAGACTGCTCTAAATTAAGCCAGGACCAAAGCAGTTCCTAGCAGCTCTAGGACTAGGGGAACTAAAAGAAAGATTCAGAACCACATTTTTGCTTAAGTTCCATTCCTCCTTTCTTGTTTTTGAATTTTTAGTCTCACATTTTGAACAATTACTCTTAGAGTCATGTTGATCACTTTTTGGGTATATATTTTTTTCTTGATTAATGTTTTATTTTTGTGCCAAACTGCTAAAGTCGGGTCCTGTGGTTTCATACATGTGGTTAACTTATTCAAGGATGTTTTGTATGTGTCAGGCACAGATAATTTCAATTTGAGTTTTTTCATGCTCTGTGTCCTTACTCCATGGAGTTCCTGCTCTTTGTCCTATTATCAGACTGTTTCACTGTACATGCCTTGCTGTAAATATTTTGGATACCATCCATTTTTTCTTCTTTCTGTCTCCAGTCAGATATTGAGAGGTAATTACAGTACTTTATAATGTGAGTGTTAATGCATTACTAAAATGAATATATTTAGATTAGTAAAACAAACACAATAAACATTGTAACATAATATGAAAAAGGTTAACGTGATTTAAGACATTTTATACAAGGCAGACGGTCAATAATTTTGTAGGATGAAGAAAACTTGTTGCCAACTGTAAAAAACAAACTACCAATTTTATGCCAGTAGAAACATACACAGTTCTCTTTGCTCTTCCAAACTCATAGAATTAATTTGGTGTTTTTGAATCTGGGTGATTTTGCTTTTTATTATTTTTTTAACCATGGAATTGCATAGAATAAGTCAGTTCACTTACATGTAAAGCAAGTACGCAGGGGAATGTAGACTTTATGACCCAATAAAAGAGCAAAAAATAAAAAATACAGGCTGTGACCCCGAATGTTTTATCATTGTAGTGCTTTCTGCCATATCATCATTTTGGTAGCATGGAACAAATTAAGCATTTGCTTGGGCAAAAGAATACAGCAAATAAGAGAAAGATCTCTTTAAAAGCTTTTCAAGCCAAATTACTATCTTACTATTTCAGTGCTAGTGAGACTGGTAGTCAAACCTCAGAAGCTGTGATGTTCTGTTTGTTTCTAATTGGATATTCCTACAGAATTTCAAATACTTAGACACATTTGTGTCTACAGCCTTCTCACAGTCCTCTGCTTCCATCCTTCATTGCCTCTGAGTCTTCTCTCTCTAGTTGCAATGTGGTTTATCTTCTCCATGGTAAACTGAAGTTCTTTCCTCTAGTGCCAGCAGTTTATTTTTCAAGGGAGCTTGTGAATGGGTCACATCCCCCACACAATATGTCCTCACAATATGGTCTTTCCTAACAAACATATTCCCAAAGTTTGTCTTTGTTTATATTTTTTATTTTAATTTGTATAAAATAGGCATTGACCATACCAAACAAAGCCCTGGATCAGGAATACAAATAGTTGCAAAGAGTTCATCACAGATAGTTTTCTTAGCTTCTTCTCAAACTGACTTAATTTTGTGGTTTCTCCTTGCAGGACTTCCTGTATCTCCTCCTAGCTTTCCTAGAGCCATCGAGCGATTCCTGAGCTGATTATAAAGATACCCATCTACTCTGGCTCTCAATGTAAATCAGCTGGATTGCTCTGCACCTACACACATGGTCCTACAACATGAGACATTCTCGGATGTTGAAGGCTCCCCTTTCTTCACCCTCCTTCAAATAGCTTCCCTTTGACAAGATGGACTACATAGCCCTTATACCCAGCCTCTGATCAACTTTTGTTTGGTGTTCTAGGCACCAACCCTGTTCTGATAGTAACAGCAACAGTTAGGCTGCCAAAAGTGCTAGACCTTTCCACTTATCCCAAATTATACAGAATGGAAATTCTGTATGTTTGATGTTTGTATGCCCCAGAATGCATGTTGTGTGCCAAAGTGATGTGAGATTTCTCTCTTGTAGTTGGAGTCCAACAGACAGGCTGCCTAACGTGTTGGGCACAACAATCAAGGAAAGAGAATGAGAACAAGGGCCTATAAGACAGTTATGGGAGATAATTTGTAGTGTTGATGGGGGGCATGCAGATAGGGTCACACAGGATGATGAAACTAATAAAAAGCAAACAGTATCTTTGTCCAGACTTCTGACTGATCTTGAAGAAACTTTTAAAATAGCTTCCTTGCTGAGAGCAGGCTGGAAGAAAACTTGAGAATTCTTTCCCTTAGAAAAATCAGAACGAAAGTAGGCTAGCTTTTAAATAGTGATTATTTGTTTAGCTACATTATACATCCGTTTTCTTAGTTGTGTGTTTTGTTTGTTGTGCATTATAGACATACTACAGAGTGGTTGTATTGCTCAGTTCCTAGCTCTCGGGGTAACAATTCACATTTAGCCATGCTTGTCATGAGGGGAGGACAGAAGTGGGTTCACACTGCATATAATTTGTTGCTCCTCATTCCCATCTTTGAACCCTTCTGAGAGACCTAGAGCCCGAAAGTTGATGTTAAATGCCAGGTTATAATAATCTATTATTTGTTCAGCATCAGCAAGATAGTAGATACAGTGATGGAATATAAAACCACCAAGATCCTGTTATTCTCTGTGAGGTCTTGAATTAAAAAACAGAAGTAATCATTCAAATATCCCAAAGTAATAATCTCTGAACTTGATGAGCTCCTCTGTTTGTTAATTTTTGTCTACCAAAGACACTTGATCTGAGAAGTTTGAACGATTATATCAGTGAAAAATCCTAAATGTTTGCTAAAGATCTTTTGCATACTACCACATCCTTATATGCCACCCATTATGTTACAAATGGCATGGGGGGGGGGGGTTGATAGATTTGGTGTTTTACACAGAACTGAATTTCCCCTGTGAGGGAAGTCATCATCTGTGCTTCCCTGATGGAAAGTAGTGTTGACCTAGCTAAAATATGCTGTGGGAAACCAGGACATCCAATCCAGTTATTGCCCCATTTTAGTTTTCCCCCCCAGACATATTTGAGACATTTGTTTTGGTTCTTAGACCTTCTAGTCTTACTTGGCAAGGAGTCTAAGGTTTTCCATTATTATTAATTATTATTATTTTGTTATTTTGACTGATGGTTTTGAGACAACTCTTACTCTATTTGTTTTTAACACTCTTCATCATGAAATGATACTGATCTGACTCCATGCACTATGTGGAGGAGATGAGATTCCTTTCAGCTACCAGATCAATGGTGGTGGGTAATCCCTTGTAAGCCTGGAGGCCTATTGTCCTACAGGGGTCATTAAATATGTACTTGAGTTTGTTCATCTCACTGATAAAGTGCATGGTTTGAGGCATTATGAATAAGCTACTAGCGCCTATATCTCTACTACTGTCTCTATTACTGTCTCATTCTTTCTTAGTACTCTATTTTTTTACTTCACTTTCAGACTGAGTGAAAGACAACTGAATATTGCTTGCCTGTCAGTTACACCAAAGTAGCCCCCCTGAAGCCAGTTAGTTTGTGTGGAAAATAGCTAAGAACTGAATTTGTCTCACTGCTGTTAATTATTTTCTACTACATTTCCAGAGGTTTCTGGGCACTAAACAATTATGTTTATTATAAAGCAGTTTGAATGAAACTTTTCTAAACCTCTACACCTATTACAATACAAAGTATACAGACTGCACTCAAGTAATAACAATAGCAATTACTAAAGATTCCATTAGAGTGAGAAGTACAATTTTAGGTCACTTATATTAATCCTATCATTTATCCAATACCTAGTATACACCATGCTTTCATTCCCGTTATTGTGTTGGCAACTGTCATTGAAGTAGACATACTCTAACAAGTGTCAGTGTTTCAGGACGAAATAAGGAGAGATCTGGTCTTTTCTTCCTATTTTAGTTCCTGATTGCAGCATTATTTTAGATCCCTACTGAAAAACAGCCAGTTCAACCCACAAATGCAAGATATTCAGGTTTCAGTTCCTGCAGAACCAGAATACATCAGCCTAATTAACTCTTTTATTTTTGTTTGCTTTTTGCCCTTCTAATAATAATGCCAGTGGGTTGGTTTGTGACAGAGCAGTATCCAGCTTCACTTGCAGAGTTATAGGTGCTGAGCTTTCATGGACTTCGGTTGGTGGGGTGTGTGTGCTCAATTCTTTTGAAAAGCCGCCATTTCAAAACTGTGATTAAGATTTTCAAAAGTAATATGAGGGTATGTCTACACTGCCTCCTTGCAGGAGGAATAACGATAGTTCGAATTAGGAGCCGCGGGCAGGTAGTTCGAACTACGGGCATTTAAAAATGGCGCCTGCCCGGGAACATGCAAATGAAGCCCGGGATATTTAAATCCCGGGTTTCATTTGCAAGTTAGAATGCCTACATTATCCACCCTAGTTGAAACTAGGGTGGCAGTGTAGACATACCCTAAGAGATTTATGCTCTCAGTTGCCATTCAGTTTTAATGCAAGTTGGGGCCCTACTACTCTTAGGCACCGTTGGAAAATTCCACACAACATGGACCAAAAATAATCCATCATGTTCAATGATTTTTGTTTGTAATTTTTATTTAATTTCTTTTTGTGATATTTGAAGTGTCCTGTGACAAACCAATGAGAATCACTTAATAATAATCTGTTAGGTGCCATATGTTTTTATGGAACTATTTTTACAATACTGTGTATGCACATGAAGAAAAGCAAGAATGCATTGGGGTGAACATTTTGATCTGTTGCTGTTGCTGTCAACACTCGTAGTACTATAGAGCTACAGTAGGTTGGCTCCTTTTTAAGAAGGGTTACCTTATCCCAAAGAAATCAGCTTTTCCTTTCACGTGGCAATGACTCAGGGTGTTATTGAAGGTTATTGATAGTGAGCAGTTCTTTCTGCTTTCAATTTGTTTTATCCTGCAGAGACTTACCTTATTTCACACCCATGTTTCACCAGCTGTGGAATTTCTTTGGTCCTAGGGATAGCTGTGCTCTTTTAAAATCAAATGGTGCACTTTTGACTGTGCTGGAGGTACTAGAGAACAATGCAGTGATGACTTGCAAAGTACTGCCAGCCCAAGAGCCTGTGAATCCCAAGAAAAAACTTGAATCTAGGTGCCTCACTCTTTAGTGCTTCTTGTGCAACTGGTCAAACCATCAGGTAGCCATTTTTAATTTACACTGGGTGGTATTTATTATATAATATTAACATCTGTTATATTTTAACAGTGTATAAATTACATTGTACAGTGTTTGTGCTTCTATATTGGTGAGTGTCTAATACAAAATTAGCATTTAAGTACTGGCCTATTTGTAATAAAAATATCTGAAAATGTGTAAATTCTTTCTGATACTATGATTTTAACAGAGTATTAGATGATATCTCTTGTGGTCTTTGTCTTTTATTGAAGATGCAATGATTTAAAAAAAACTACACTGTAACCTATATATTATTTATTGGACCAAAACCTTTTTTGGCCCAAAGTTTTTCATTGGGCCAGTCAGAATTTCGTAATACAGCTGCTTCTGTTGTCTTATCTATTTGTAAAATATAGGGTTAGTATTTTAGTACCTCAAACACCACCAAAGCTATTTCTTCCCCTCACAGAATTAGTGTATGTAGGAAATTTTGAAAGCAATTTTTAAAACTTGTTACGCATATATTTTTAATTGCCATAACCGGGGAACTTGTACTTTATTTTTTTTTGCAAATGTGAGAAACCGAATTTTTTTATTATCTTTATTCTGTAGCTAGTTTTCATGGCAAAATTCATTGTTTTTTTCCATAGAAAAAGTTTTTAAAGGGGACAAAAACTTATTTTTCAGTAGGGCTCTAAAATGTATACTTTGTAATGGTTCAGGATATAAGAAATGTATAAGAAATAACACGAGGAAGCAATTCAATAACTGTCATCAGCTTTGGAGATACATATACTGTATGTCTGAAACTCAGCATTTGTAAGGGTAACTAGCTGTACATTTTAGTGCCTTGTTTATTGTACAATATGTAATCATAAATTACTGAACATAAATAACTAAATTTCTGACAAACTGTACCTATTTATTGTTAATAGGAAAATATATTCACAGAAAGGTCTCAATAAATCATCAACTATTAAGAATTAATTTGGTTCATTTTCAGACCACTTTTTTATATTTGTATTCAAATAATGTAAATTTCTTTGGTGCATAACTGTTGTTCTTCCTAATGTTTAGTGTTTGAGAAAAGTGACATGCTGACATTCCTGTCAGCCAGAGTCCACAGAATCTGTGATGCACAGGCAGAAGGAGTGAAAATATCCCCAATGCTCCCTTCTCCCAGCCTCAACATGTGCCTTAACCTTTATTTAGAAAGGCTACCTCGAGGGTGAAGAGGTTAATTCAAATTCAGTGCAGATTTATAATGAACATTAAATTAATGTGCATGTATGCTTATCCCATTCAAGAGTTATAACTAGAGATGTAAAATCCCAGTTAACTGACTTTGCAGGCTCGGGGCACCCTGCACTGGGGCAGGCTGCCAGCTCCCAACCCCCATGCAAGGGTTGGAGCTGCCACCAGCTCCCAGCCCGCACGGGAGCAGCCCTTGTCCATGGTGCGCGGCTTCCCATGGACAGAGGCTGCTCTGGACCTGCCATTGACAGAGGCTGCTCCAGACAAGAGCAGCTCTTGTTCACAGTGGGCCCCCTGTAGGGCTGGAGCAGCCTCCTGCCCGTGGCAGGTGGGGAGCTGCACCAACCCCTATCGGTTACCGGTTAACCCAGGGTTTCTCAAACTTTGTGATACCACGACCCCCTAAAATGCTAAATGAATGTGTGTGACCCCATCCCCCACCCTCACTGCCCTGGGTCGCTTCCTCCCTCCTTCTCACCAGACTCCTTGCCCCTCTAGGGTTCCTTCAAGGCGTGTGCGGTCCTCAACGCCCTTCCTGCCTGCAGGCTCCTTCCCCCTCTCTTTCTCCTCTATGCCTCTTTTCCGCTCTGCGCCTCTTTGGTTCCTTCTCTCTCTCCTCTCCTCTCCTCTCCTCCATCCTCCACTCCTTTCCTGTGTCTCCTCTGCCTCCTCTGACCTCCGCGTGCCCTTATTTACCTCCAGGTCCTCTGCCCCAACCCAATCCCCTAGCCCGCTGCCTGAGGGACCCCGCCCTCTCCCAGCTGGGGAAGCGTTTGGTCGCCCAGCAACTGTGCCCCAGCCGGCCCCTCACACATCCGCTCCTACACCAGCGCCGGCCTCACTCTCCCGCCACCTTGCCACCTGCTGCAGCTGAGCTGCGCTCCTGGAGTCCCACAGTCCCAGCCATGTTGCACGGCTTGCCAGCAGCTGCCTTCCGCTGCCCTGCTGCTCTTTGCAGCCCGAGGGAGAGGGGTCGCAAGTGAAAAACTGAATCCAGCTGCGACCCCCCCCTCTAAGTTGCTCTTGATCCCCCTGGGGGTTGTGACCCACAGTTTGAGAAACGGTGAGTTAACCAGAACTAGTAACCGGTTACCCTTTCACATCCATAGTTGAAACATACAAACTTCAGTCTGCTTCAAATTAGAAAAATACTGAGCATATTAAGAAGGGTTTGACTGACCTTCAGGCTTTGTAAAACAGAAGTCAGTAGTGGCTTTTCCCTGAAAAACTGAACTGAGGTCGATTTCAATGAGTACAAATGGAATTACATTGCATTGAGGCTGTTATAACATTCCTGTTTCATAGACACCAACTTTTCCCCTTATTTTTAATTACAGAAAAGATTTACTGTAAGTAATGGAAGAGTGTTTTCCTAAATATCATTGAGTACATTCCAGCAGTAGTGCTGCTCAGCTGGCAGTTGATTCTAATCACGGTGCCCCCTTGCAGGGTGGGGGCAGGGAGCGAGAGACTTCACATGCTCCCCCTCCCCAGGTCCTGATGGAGTTTGGGGCAGTAGGGGGGAGCATGCAAAGTCTCCTCCCACTGCCAGGGGCACGGACGCCTGGAAGGAACTGCCAATTGTTCAGAACAACCTGACCCCTAGGCCTACTGCCTCACAAGTGTATCACTCTTGTGAAGGAAGGGTAAGGAAGCTCTGGCCAGTCCATATCTGGAACGGAAGCTTGACCTGTTAGTAGCAGCCCTGCAAGCTATCTTGTACACAAAGTGCACAACAATCTGTGCAACCCAGCAGTGCTAAACAGACCCACTCTTGTCCCCTGCTTTGCACTCCAGCTCTGCTCTCTGGCTCTGATACCCTGAGATGAATGGAGTCGGGAAGGACAGTCTCAGAGAGCGGATGGACAGATGACTAGGTAGGGGATGACAGCTTGGAGGGCAGCTTGGGTACATGCACAATGGAAGGCACTATGGTGGCCAGGCAACAGAACAGGACTGATGGAAGAAGCCCCCTCAACCAGTCTCACCCTGGCAGGGACACAGCAAGAGTGAAGGGGCTGCCTAGCCCTCTTCACACCTGGGCTGCTGCTGTCGGGTTGCCATCCCAAACACAGAGAGCTGTCCCTGGCTGTCAGTCTGGCTCAGCCATAGCTATGTGGCCATCAGCAAGGAGGAGGGGGATTTTCACCCTGGTTCAAGCCCAGGCCAGCATGTGCAACCCCATTAGTGAGTTTTCTACAGGTTCATCTGCAGAAACATTATGACAATTGCTTTCTCTAGATAGTCAAGTGCAACTATTTGCTCAGTGCTTTGCCGAGACCATGACTGACCTGGCTGGACTAATCCAAGGACCTTGCTAAACTATCCAATGAGTAGTGTACAAAAGGTATACATTTAACCAACATGAGCTTATGGCCCACACTTATTGGGAGTACATTGGGGATAACTGCAACCCCTGATACATATCATGAATGGAATTCAACAAGTTACATGCACTGATCAGTGTAGGGCAGAAACTCACTAAGCCAGAGTAGTGTGCATACAGAGCCAGACATCTAAGGTCATCACAGACTTTTTATTGTTTAAGCTCATATGGCCATTCCTCCTGTGGCAATAGGCTTTGCATATGTATAAGTGGGTCTCATTATTTCCCTTTTTTTCTGAACTAATGTCTGCAAATGGTTTCTTTTGTTTCTAGTAGGTGTCTGTGTAACTTTCTGTGTTTCTATTTGCTATCTCATTGCACTGGATATTTTGTAAATTTTGTAAAACTTCTTTGCTATGTAAAACCTGCATATATATTTACATTTGCTCAAAGACTATAATGCAGTTTCCCCTGCACCTGTGAGCTATTAACCTTGTTAGCCTTTGTATGAAGGGAATACAGGTGAAGGATGGTGCTGGGAGAAGAAAATATATGCTTTAGTTAAATACAGGCTACATTTTAACACACACAAGTTATCAGGCTTAATATATGGCAACTGGAGGAAATGCAGTGGCTTATGATATATGGGAGACCACTCTAGATGATATATTGGTCCTTTCTGGTATGGAATTCCATGAATCTAAAACCAACAAATTACACAAAGTAGATGGGAACAACTTGTTGCTCCAGAGTGCTAAATACAATGAAGATGGTAGAGATAACTATAGTGAAATTAATAACTGATCTCAGGATTAGTACTAGATCTATGCACTGCTTCAATTCCAAACAAACCCTCAAAATGGGACATTAGTCATGCAATGGCTGAGAATCGACCATCTGGATGGTGGTCAATTTCATCCTTAGTGAGAAGATAAAATGCTCTCTATTTCTCTCTTACCCCCTGACACAGAGCTAGTGATAGATGAAATTACATGATCACAGACATATTTTTCAAAGGTTGTTTTCTGATGCTCTGTCCTGTTCTGGCCAGCAAGTGGTAGCAAAGAGCAATCACTATTCAACAAGTGTGTACCTTTGGGCCTGACAAGGAAAATATCTTTCTTATCTGAAACTGAAATGAAAGTGAAGTCCAATGTTTATTTATGTAATTAAAATACACCAGTCTATCTGAGCATACACCACAAAAATTAAAATTAACAATCCCTGTATGGTTGTGTTCAAAGCCTGGCATAACTTTACTCCTCCCAAATTATCCTCCTGTGTACTGTCATGTCGTCCCTGGTGCCTTTCATTCCTACAAATGTTGCCAGCCTTAGTGGCCCATTTGTCTCATTCTCTTAGGGCTGGTCTACGCTACCTGGGCAGACTGATCTATGTTACGTACTTAGATCTACTTACCGAAGTGTCTTCACTGCAGTGCATCAACAGGAGACATTCTTCTGATGACATTTGACTGTTAACTTCTTGTTGAGGTGGAGTACTGGTGTTGACTGAACAGCTATCAGTGATCAATTTATCTTGTCTATTCTACAGTCAATAAATCAACCCCCATTGGATTGCCTCATCGATCCAGTCGGTAGTGAAAACAAACCCTCAGACATATTTCTTGCACAATTGTCTCCTTGCTTCTTCCAAGAAGCTCTTTCTGCACAAAATATTTACCCAGTGTGGAGTGTCACAAGGCTTGCATCTCTCTCTCTCATTCATTTTGACATCAACATAAAGTTACTATGAGATGCCATAATCCCACTGCCAACAGTATGCAGATAATATCCAATACCCATGTTTACATATTATTCAAACCTGATGTTCACCCCATCTTCCAGTATGCCAATGTCCTGACAGAATTTAGAACTTGTTGTCTAATGTCTTCCACTTTGTATTCAATAAAGACCTACTAAGAAGCAATTGTTCAGATAAAAAAAAAATCACTTTCAAGCCATGATCAAGCAAAGGATTAATCACAATGATTAAAATGTTTGATTTTATACCCAATATAAAAACATCATGGGCTCTTTGCCTCAAAAGGAAGCCTCATCCTGTATTTGTCTTACATTTTCCCTTTAATTCTTTGAAATACAGTTTATTTCTATCTCTAGAGTCAGAAAGATATGGAACCAAGAGCTTAGGAAGCTAATTACAGCAGGCATATGTGAATGGACATTAATAACGCTCAAAAGTTGTGATTACAGAGAATAGTGTGATATCAAAGGGCACTGCATTTCTGCATTAAACATACATATCTTCTTCTTAAAATGATATATTTAGTTGTAGAGAAGAACAATGGATTCAATCAGAATGTGAAAACAATAGGGAAACTTGGGACCAGTTGAACTAAAAGAGCATAGCACACGGTGTAATCAATAAATCAAGTGCCAGGTATGGTTATTCTTCTTGTCAAGTCACATTTTTTCATGCACATATCCAGATTCTTTATAGTTTATTGCTGTACCTTTTCACCTCCTCAACACTAAGTCAAGATTTGTTATACTTCAGTCTTAGCCATTCTGGCAAAATAAAATTCCTTCCCATTCTAACAAAAGAAAGAAATAGAATGAAGGAGAAAGCTGCTCTTTCTACCATCTGTGACTTTGCTAAAGAAACTCATGCTCAGGGATTTCAACACAGCTGATAACAATTTCTGAATATTTTAACCATCTGTAAAAAATGGGTTGAATTTGGGCTGTCCAAAAATATCTGTAGAAAAAGGAATTTTTAGTTCATAAAAATGCCATTTAGCAACCTGTGGCTGGCAGAAAATCTGTTCTGCTAGTACTTTTCAATGTAAGTAGCCTTACCCCACCACCTCATGACTAGCAAAGATGTGGGACAGAGGAGAGGAACCCAAAGGGGGAAGAAAGCTTCAGAATCCAGCATTTGACCCACGTCTTATTATGGCTACAAATAAAGCAGAGAATGACTTATTTAATTATGTCAGTAAATTACTGACATTATTCAAGAAACTAGCAATTTGCTAGAGCACATTACTGCCCTAGCTTTTGTCAAAAAGAGACTGATGAGATAAGAGACTCATTACATAAGAGTAATGATGTCACAAATGTGATTTTATGGTTTAACCCAGTGGTCCCCAACATTTAGAGGTTCCCGGGCACCCGGGGGCGGGACCACTCACGCGCTGGGCGCCCGGGGGCGGGGCCGCGCGTCTGGGAGCATGCCAGGGAACTGGGATGCTCTTGCACCTGCATGTGCCCCAGGGTCGGGGCTCGGGCCGCCCGAGCGCCTTGCGCCCGGGGCCGA